CCTTGATGTTCCTTCTGTTCTAACAACATAAAGGTAAGCAAAATAATTTCACTGTATTGTCCCAGTAAAAATTCACTGCTTTATAATACCAACAATACAATGTATTCAATGGTTGGGAAACACTGATTATAAATATTATACCTGAAAAGAGCAATAATTAATGCAAGCTAGTGCAACTGTGATTTGGTAATACTGACTAACAACAGAAAGTTTCCAGTGAAAATTTCAGTTCCTATAAAAAGAGAAGCATCACATGTTTAATCCAGTGACTGAATGAAAGCAAAAGAACTCACAGCTTCCCTGAAGTCTCCCTCTTTAGGAATAAGCGTGACAGACAGCTCCAGTGCCCCCAGGTTCTGGTTGGGATAATGTGGATCTTTGAGGTCAAGGGCCACATCCAGGGTCCTGAAAGCATAAAGAGAGCTCAACATATGAAAAATTAAATCCTGTCAAGATAAACCTTTTTAATATTTGTTTAATAGCGTCACGTGTGTCAAACATTTCACATGTGTTCATATATTCATCCTATTTTAAATTTACATTTGACTTAACCTTTAAATTAAATGCTTCCTGTTGTTAGTTAGCAGGATGCACTTCCTAACTGTAATAAATTGGTCGAAATATCTACATTTAATGTTTATTTGCAACTAATGAGGTTTAATGAAAGTGTAAATAATTGTGAAAAGTGCGTGGGTGCATGTGTACAAGTTCTGAAACACTAGAGGGCAGTAGTTTCATAGTGAAATGATTTCGCTTCAATCGTGTCAGTGTGTCCAAGAGTCAGAGGACCTTTGGTGCTCCAGGGACTCTAAATATAGATATGCAGATCCCATGAAGTCATCCTGCAGCCCAAAGTCATAATCAAAGACCTGCAAAGGAAAAAAAGCGAACTGAGTCATTTAAAAAAAACTGAAAAAGAGTCAATTCTATATGAAATTAAACAGATAACCATCTTTGATTAGGCATTGTGTTTTGTCTCTTTATATTGTCGGAATTGGATTGATTATGATTGGGATGAAATGGATGTCTTTGCAATGCTCGAATGGGAAATGTGACCACCAACTAGACAACATCTTTTTAATCATATATAGGGTAATTATATAAAGGCACCAAGAAAGCCAAATGGACTGTGTGTTCAAAATCAACAAGAAGTCGGTTACTTCACATTCTGTGCCATAACTATGCAAAAGCACATTTGACGTATCAGATAATAGAAACTTTATTTGATCATCACCAAACTAGGTCTGTCTAATTGTAAAGCATTTGGAATGCAAAACTGTGTATTTTAATGAATGTTTGGAATGTTGAATATTCTGCTTTCACCATAAACAAGAATTTATAATAACCATATAGTGTCTTATCGGGCCCAAAACACATCTACATAGCAACCTACACATTTATTATTTTTTTATAATTGAACTGTATTTGAAGAACATGAAAGAAACTTGGTGCATACACACAGAGCTGTGAAAATGTGTATTTGAGCAAGTGAACACGAGACAAAAGGCTATTTGCACTATTCTAGGGCTCTTCATACAGGTTTAAAGTGATCAAAAGACTTGTTCCAATGTTATGAAAATGAAACGTTTTATTACTTATCCCTTAAATTTCAAATTAGGTTCAAACTGTGCATGGTTTGGTAAAGTCATTAGGGGTACTTAATTAAAGGACTGTTTGAATTTGATACTTTTCAAGTTATTGCAATAGTTATTGGGGTTCCAATCGTTGTGCCAGGATTTGTCACCAGTCTAGATAAAAGTTGATGGTTTGTATAATAACTTTCTAATCGACCATCTACTCATCTAAATACACTAAATGTATGTTTACAATCATTATCTTGTTCACGTGAGATTTGTACTCAATTTCGCACTGATCCATTATTTTGGTGCAGATCAATTTAATGATTGGACAGCAGTGCTTCGACTTTGATTCATTATTTACCTTGACATAAAGTGGTTCTCTCAAGCTCTCCACCAGCAGACTGACTTTCTCATCCCATACTGGGTTCAGATTCTTATGGATTGTCTTGCTGCGGAAAACCTCCTTCCCTGCAATCTTAAATTTCACATATGGGTCACTCGTGCCTGCAGAACAACAAGAAAACAATCATTTCAAATAGCATCCATTAATGGATTACATGTCTGAGTTATTTTTACTTTGTGAGATACTGAAAATTTTAATTAATAAAAGCACAATTAAACTAATTGTGAAAATAATTCTCAGCTATGAAAGATAAATGGGGCTTTTATTTAAATATTTCACTTTATTTATACACAGTGACATCAGCCCTTTAAAAATTCTTTAGAAAAAATCTTTATTTCCTTATTAAGAGGAGTTAAAGCTGGCACACACCCCTTTTTAATTAATTGTACAAATTTTTGTTGCAATAAACATAGTTCTGTTCAGAATCATGCGTGCACATATTCTAATTTATGCTGCAGGACTCCCGCTGTCAAAATGGTCATGTGACCTGAACTGTCACCCCCTATTGGCTCAAGCATTAAAACGAGAGCGGTGAGTCTGCTGTTTGTACCCAAGGCCAGGTTAAATGCAGTTTTGATAAATAAATTACTTTAGTAGCTACATGTATTACATGTATTAGCATTATAGAGCATTATAATGTATTAACGTAGATAGAAAAAAAAACTTAAAGTAGGAACAATTGACTAATTTTATTTTTTAACACACGTCTATAATTAATAGAATGTTAATGTATCAAAATGACGTGGAAGTGAGTTATCAAGTTGTCAAAATCACAAATCGGCCTTTAGATCCAAAGCCCAACATTTACAGTAGTGCAGTTCTTTCAGTGGACCACTCGGTGTCAGTGTGCGCTGAGAGTACGATCTGCTTGTGTCAGCTGACCAGCTCTGTGTCTGCAGTGGGTCAGGATCTGAACTCCATCATTCTGACACTTTCAGTAGCCGAGCATCCTAGACGTGCCATTCTTCTTCATAAAAGAATGATGAGGAATTGGTTGAACAATTAATATTTAAGATTTAATGGTTACAACAAATACAGAAAAAAAAATCCACGCAAAAAAATATAAAGTTTGTATTTACCTCAACACTCTTTATAGTACCTAAGGCTGTGATGAAGAGAGTATAAACAATGGATGTATGAAGTCTATGTCAATGGAACCTGCAAGGATGTAAATGTGTCCTAAATGGAGCCACACCAATATATTTTGAGACGTGGGTTTTAAATCTAAATGAAGTCCACAAAAAAACTTAAAGAGATGCCACACCGGTACAAAAATGATTGTTATTTATTTAAAAGTAAATAGCCCCTAAAACGTAGATGCAAAATCACAATAAAACAACACTAACAGCACAAATTCTCACCCACACTTCACAATTCACACTTTAACCAGAAGACAAATAGTAGTAATAATTAACAATACATGTAATCGAAAACAACTTCAAAAACATGGGGTAAGGAACCTGCTGGTTTACAAACACGATCACTTCGATTCTCTTATGTCGACATTAATGCATCCTATTTGTATATGAGGAATTGGATTGAATCTAACTTGTAATGTTTAATTTCACGATCTCCTCTGTGTGAGTGCAAGAACTGGATTCTGTAACCTACTTCTCCTCCATCTCTAGTACAAAAAGCACAATCGTTTGGTCTCTACTGATCTACACATTACACACTTTCAAAATACCAAGATTGGTCAAACCAAACATATATAAGCGATATAATAACTGTGCTGTAGAACAATACATCATTCATGATACGATAAAGATATAAAGACAGTAGACAGCAAATAAGCTGCAGAAGACTCAAAAAACTACCCTCCTCCAGAAGGATGGGATTTCATGCTCTACCACAAATCAAACAAGACCCTAGCTTTATGTGTTTAGATTCAGTGTGCCCAGCAGAGACACAACCAGCCAATCATCTTCCTTTATTTAACTGAGCTGCAGATAATCATTATAACGATTCTAACACCCAACCACAGAGCACCCTGAATCCTGAACCAGCCTTTAAAAGACTCATCCCAACCTCCACCACGGTTGTCAGACTTACGGTTCATGCCCGCTCACTCTCCATGATCAGTTCCGACCATTTTGGATCCCCTGTGCACTCCTGCTGTGTCTCTACTTGGTTTCTTCATTTCCACTCTACTTCTATTCCACTTTTGACAACTCCTGACTCACCTGCAAGTCGCCTCTAATGACTTCCTTGTTGGTACAACACCGACTGCTTGTTTTATCTGTAAAGTGTGAACCCAGCAAAACATGTTCATTACTTTTAGTGCCTGTGGCATTTTGAAGTAACTGCAACTTTGGAATGGCTTTGTCAATCCAGCAAGCACGGCTTGGCAGTAATCTAAGATCCCCAGATCCCCAGATCCCCAGCTCCAGCGGGAGTTGAAAGTGAAGTGAGTGATCAAACCACCCCCCACCAACAACAACCACAACTGTGGCGCCCTTGAGCAAAGCATGAGATCCCCAGATTGTTTGCCACATGGATGGCTGCCACTGCTCCGAGTGTGTGTTCACAGTGTGTTTGTTCACTGATGTGTTTGTACATAGCGTGCGTGTGTGTGTGTGTGTGTGTGTGTGTGTGTGTGTGTGTGCGTGCGTGTGTGTGTGTGTGTGTGTACACTTGAATGCGTAAATGCAGAACGCAAAATGGGAAATTACACTTAAGAATGTTTTTGGACATTTTTTGGTACATATTGTGACAAGTAGCCTTTACACCCATTAAGTTGCCAATATAAGCAAAAGCTGGAATTTTTTAAGTGATTATTTATTTTTTTGATGATCTTATTTGTCTTATTTTTAAAATATCAACTAGCCAACAATGTTTATCATATTTTACTTCCTGTATCTTGAATGCATGCACTTTTTATTTAATAAATAACTAATGAAAATTACTATTAAAACGTTCAGTTTTTTATTTTATTTTAATCACACCAGAAATTTGAGGTTGTGACTTGTGTTTTTGTGAATACATTTTTGAGATTTTGTGACTGAATTGATAAAAAATCTCAGTTGCTCAGTCTGTAGAGTATTGTGCTAGTAACGCAAAGATCATGGTTTCGAACCCCATGGAAAGCACAAACTGGACTTTGAACTGTCTTTGGATAACAGTTTCCATTCATTTGCAGCACCCTTTGTCTAACAAGCTTTTTAGCTAACTTAAACAGGTCTTCCAGCCTGTAATGGACCAAACAGCACGTTTAAAAAAAACTGAGTAAAATTTAGGATGAGTCCTGGTGACAAAATTGATCATAGAAGTGAAGGAGACTTTGAAGATTGTGGGAAACCAGGACAAAAAGAGCCAAGAATAAACATAGGAGCCTTCATCCCTTGAAGAATATACAAGAGATAGAAGAAGTCTGTAGCAGCCCATGAACCATAGTTCAGACACTGGTGGAGTGAAGGAGGTTAGCATTTGAAGTGGTGCTGATTAGTGCTAGAACTCTAGAATGGTGGGTTGGAGGCACTGATGTTCCAGGTGCTGTGAATCCTTCTAAATGAAACCTTGATTTGAGGCATGAATATCACAAGACACATAACAAATGAGGCGTTGGTTTGTTATTTGTCACATGCAGTTGGATCTGTGGTATTGAGGTAAATAATGGTCAGTGTGATTTATATAATGTACTGTCATAATTTATTAAATTATATGTTGAAGATCTTAAAAGGACTCAATAAATATTTGGAGATTAAATTTTAAAATAGTATTAAAAATATAGATATTTATACTTCTCTATCATGTCTCTTGTTATTATGAGAAAGGCTATGAGAAACTAAAGCCCATTATTCCTGAGCAGATCTCTCACATTTGTTGGTTTTCTACTGGATTCAAGTCTGGACTTTTGCCAGTCAGATACTTTGCTCATTTGGTCGTATTTCTCCACCTGAAGTGAAGTACGTTTTGGATCGTTATCATACTGTCGACCAAAATCAAGTTTTCCCATAGACTGTCAGAGAAAACCATTCAAAATCATCTCAAAGACTTCCATGTTCATGTTTCCTTCCACCCTGACTAAATTCCTAGAACCAGATGAGCTGAAGCATCCCCACAGCATTACACTCCCACCTCCATGTTTCTCTGTGTGGCTGCTATTCGTGGGATTGAATGCCTTTCTTTTCTTTCTCCAAACATACAAAGCTATATACATTGCCAGAAAGCTACACAGTTGTGGGCCAGTATGCAACACTCATTCAGGCTTGGAGGTGTCTCTTCTTCAGAAGTGGAGTCTTTCTTGGTCGGCAGCCTTGCTGTGTATTCCTCTGCAAGGATCTAGTGACTCTTCATTGGGGCACCAATTCAAGCCCTGTTTCTCAATATTTATGAGAATTAACAATTCTTTCCCTGTGATGAACTGACAACCCGTCCAGGGTGTACCTCTGCCTCTCACTCAATATGCGCTGGAGATAGGCACCGGCAGACCCCAGTGACCCCAAATGGGAATTAGTGGGTTTGAAAATTAATGAATGAATGAATGAATGAATGAATGAACAATTCTTTCCATCCAGTCCAAACTAATTAAAATTTGTCTTTGTCATGACGCCCGTGCATATAATTAATCCAGTTGTTGTGCAAGACACTAATCCTCATCATAAAGTACATTGTAAAAGCTTAATTAGGTAAATTAGATTATTCATGCAAATTAGATTAAATTAGCAAGACACAACAGTGCTTCTAAAGCCATTGTTTTAACGACAATTAAAGTTATAATTTATAAAAGGAGGCTAATATTAACCTAAGCCGTTTTATTGTTCATTTTAACCCATAGAAGTTGATGCGTGTGCCAATCACACCAGCTGTTTTTCATTACATAGGAATGATGCAACCCACCTATTTTTTTATTTTGATTTCAAAAATAATGTGTAGGTGGTTAAAAGGTTTTAAGCTTTGATATCTTTGGATTTAACATTACAAGAGTTATGAAAAAATTTGCAAGGTGATTAAAATTAAAATGCACTGGTGGGCAGTAACAAAGTAAATGTAATTAGTTACTGTACTTAAGTAGCTTTTTCACGTATCTGTATTTTAATTTGAGACTTTTTACTTTAACTTCACTACATTTCAAAATCAAACATCATACTTTTGCTCAACTATAGTTGTTCCTTTTTATTTATGAGTAGATAAAAAACATAATTGTTCAAGCATGTGCAAGCCACCAATCAGGGTACAGTGCAAGCTCTGATTCAAATTGTTTTGGTTATCATTTGGTGGCATCTACCTAGTGTGAATGCAATTCAGTGTCGGTTCAGCAGCACCGTTTTTGAGATGCCTGTGCCCTAATAAATGATGGACGAAACTCCCAAAACTGTTACGGTAATCTGTAAATGAGCACGTTAGATTTACACACAGAGTAAGTACAATACAGTAGAAGGAAACTTGTGAACCTGTGTTTAAAAATTTCGACATTAAAAAGGATTTTTTATTAAACGTGAACTTGCAACTATGTTAAAAAGCCTTACATTGAAAAGGCCAGCTCTGAAATTGTGTTACTTCATTGGGTTCAAAAGGAAATTTAGATCCAAGCTTTAAAACTCATGCTCATTTAAATAAGGGTTAACTCCATATTGTTTAAACAAGAGTCTTGTTATAATATTAATTTTTATATAATAGTATCTTTTAGATTTGAAAATCTCCAGCAAATAATATTTTCATAAAAGTCAGATTATTATTTATGCACCTATAGAAATATTGACTGGAGTGTAATTTACAACTGAGTGAAGTATTGACGTGGGCTTGCCATTTTCTCTGACAGCATCATATATCACAAGCTCTGTTACATCATCTGCTGTCAAGGAATCCCCCAAACAACACTTCAGTGGAGTGTGTCATTGAGGGTTCTGTCTCTAAGCTTTCATTTCTCTTGTTTTCCAGTGTACCTGACTGCTCTAAACTGTTACTTTGGACACCAACGTCCCTCATTTCTCATTCTGATCTTGAGCATATCATTTCATGGCATTTTAGTAATTCTCCTACTGGTACTGACTCATCTCATCTTTCTATCTGCCTCTGTGGTCTATTCACTCTGCTCCACTGCTCTGCAATCGCCTGGTATGAGGATTCCAGAAGTCAAGAATCATTGCTGTGACTTGAACTTTCCTAGTTCTTCGTTGCAGTAAAATTATTTACTGTGGGTTGTTTTATCCATGAGTCAAACATGTTCAAAGTCATTCCTGGAGGGGTTAGTTCCAGCCAGCCCAGCTTCAGTACTCACACCAGTTTAGCTTCAAGCAAGCCGAGAGGATCTTAATAAGTGTGTCATATGAAGGCTGAAGCTTAACTGTGCAGGGCTGTGACACACATCCCCCCCTTTCATCCCGCGAATCAGCTTCTGATATTTTCTATGCTCATATTACAATACCGACTTCATTAATATCCAAATTACGATCTGTCACAATTTTAAACTTTACCGAAGCTTTCCAAAACTATTGTATTACATACTAAAACTAGAGATTCACCGAAATTTTGGCCCCTAAAAATTTTCGTTTTCGGCCATAGCGTAAGAATATGAAAGCTGAAAATAAAAAGCTGAAATTGTTGCCACGCCTCCATCCTACCGTTTGTTCGCGCTGTCATTACGCATCAAACACGGAGTCTGTTGGCAGTTTGGAAGCACTTCAAAGTTTCAGATGAGGACAGCAAAGTTGCAATATTTTTAAAATAATTTTTCTACTGTTTGTGCTCTGTCGTTTGGTACAGTAATTTACAATTTAAGTAAAAAAGCAGCTAGCATTTGTTGCACATTTTTATTACAGAAAAAAAAATTATTTAGTTTTGTTATTGTTAAACAGCCTTATTGCTGTTATTTATTATCAATAAAAGTTTGATTGCTCAATTAAATTGTAGTTTTTTTTTAATACAAACAAAAAAAAAAACATTTTGAACATTTTTTTAATGAAGCCATTTACGGTATCGGTTTTCGGCGAAGTGCATCCAAAATGTTCGGTTTAGTTTTCGGCCCAGAATTTTAATTTCATTGCATCCCTGACTAAAACCATAAAACTAAGAATCAAAGGTACAGTTTGATCTGTATTCGAGTATCATCTGTATTGCTCCCCAAGATACTTATTATGACGTTTTTTTATCCTGATAATTTACTGACGTGGCACTCATGTGATATTTCCTGCAGTCCTATCCTGTTCACCCCTGACCCGGGGTGGGGGGTATGAAACTAGGCTTCGGAGCTTATGTTGGTGATGAAAACTTGACGTGAAACATAATAGTGGTGGCTACTGCAGAATACTTGATCGGTTTGGTTTCAGTGTCACTTTCAGATAAGGCAGTTGAAACCGATACCTCCTTGTGTGGTAATTTCATATCAAATCAGTTTCTGAAAGGTGTTAACAGGTCTGAGGGTGCCTGTTATAATATTATGCAAACTGTAAGTCGCTTTGGATAAAAGCATCTGCTACATACATAAATGTAATTGTATATCTTCTTCATAAATCATTACTTAAATCATGCTAATGCTAATCAAAAAAACTTATAAATTAATATTAATGCCTTCTATTATATAGAGCTTTTCCAGAAGCTCAAAGATGTTTTTTTCAATTTTCAGAGCATTATTCATTCACTCCACATCCACACACGGGTGGTGACAGAACATGGCTGCCATTTCGCGCCTACAACTTCCTGCCCACCCCCAAACACACCTCACCAGTCACACACATATCAAAACAGGCCAATGCGAGTGAAGTGGCTTGCCCAAGGCCCCAACGGCAGAATGGACCTGGCCAATCTTCTGGTTCTAGGCCAACCAACACCACCAATACGCCACTTGCCACCCCAATAATTGATAATAAAATGAAAATGTGTGTTGTTTTTATACCAGGAAAGAGTCAGAGAAAAGTATTAAGCATTGATCTAGGTAACAACGATCTATATTTCATGGCAAGGTCAAACTCAAACAACCCAAGGAAATGTACAGCAAACACAAGTAAATGCTAGCACTTAACGAAACTCTGACTAAAAGTCATGACAAGTTGTACAAGATTCTATTTTCAAATCTGAAATTGAGTAGCCGGTGGTAATTCAATGGCACTTGTTGCTCAATTGAAAGGCTCACGTTGGAACCTCAGACA